GAGTGGGAGGTGGGGGATACGATGGGGATGAGAGGGGGGTATGGAGATGGATCAAGGCTGTGTGCTGCCCTTGCTGCCCTGGTATGTGCCCGTGGGGAAATCATAATATAGCGATTGGTGAGGAAGAGGGCGGATGTGGATGTGGATATGGAGGAGAGAAGGCGAGAACGAGACGAGATCAGCCTGTTCCTGTTCCTGTTCCTGTTCCAGACTAGAAGGCTGCATTTACCCGGTGTTGAGCCAGACGTGATCCAGTGTCACGTGTTCAGCCCGCTATCAGACGAGCCCCTTTCGGAAATCATCCCCGAGAAAGACCGGGAATGAAGCTCAAAAGGTACATCCGAATGCTTCTCGTCTACCTCGTAAGCAAGTGAACTTCTACATCTGCGAAAGGTTTCAGCCCCATTCGACTTCGCATAAGTATACAGGTGGTGAGACGAGATGAGTGGGTGTTGCGAAGTTGTACCCGATGTACCATAAGTTTATTGGGCTGAGACAGGAAAGTTCCGAGGACCTTACAAAGCTGTCAAAGCATTACACAGCCAGTCGAGATCGATCATGCTATTCTATGCTGATATTCGAGTACTTCAAGATGTCGACTCTCACTTGCATGGCCTTGCTTGAATAATAAAAGCTATCCTGCTTCAAATAGAGTGGAAGCTCGGTGGTGGTCCCAAGTAACTCTGCTTCAATCCACCCAGGTCAACGACCAATTTCTCAAGCAACAGGTTCGAGTGGTGCAATCGTATCTGTATCGTATGCTCTCCCCGCCCAAAAGTCTCGCCTAACCTGTGCTTCTTAATCCACACACAGTCCTGCACGGCTTTAGCCCAGCCTTCCGGAAGCTCTGCAGAGTTCTTCGCTTCGTCTACCAGTCTGTGAGACTGCGAATGGCCATCAGTGACAATATCATACTTCATGGGATCGCTCGGGTCGATATCGAGTGTCATATTGAAGTAAAGCAGTAGTTCGGCATCGGCAGAGTCGGTGAAGACATAGGTATCATAGGTGACATACGATTCCCTTTGGTCTGCAGCCGGGTTAAGCGCCACGGATCCGTCTGCACTCAATCCCACCTCAACCAGTGTTCGATATGGAGTCTCGACAAGACAAGCCGAAGCTGGTATCGAGATGTAGCCACCCCCTTCAACGAACCCAGAAAATTTCTGTGGGCATTTCCGTCCCAGCACAGGAAGGTGGACTTGTTCGAAGTCGCCCTCTGCCGAATGAATATCAACCAGCACCTCCTCATCAAAGTCTGCCGGAACTTGCTCCCAATCAACTGTGATCCTGACACGTGCGTCCTCCTTCCCCGGATCCAGCGTACCCTCCGTCGCAGAAAGCGTGATCCAGCTGAATGGCGCACTTGCAGTCCAATGAATGGCCATATTCCCCCTCGAAAACACATCGAACCACCTAGTCTCCGGCCCGTACCGGGTCATCGCACCGAGCGTGAGCCCAGGCACCAGATCTCTCCTACTCGGATGTGTCCTATCAGACTCTTCATTACATCTGCCCGGTCGCACACCCTCGTGTCCTTCCACGGCAACACCCATCTGTCCAGCAATGGGATTGGAGTTCTGTCGGCTTTGCACATAGCAGAGACCACTGATCATGTCGCGCGAGGGAGCATGCCATGTGTCTCCGAATCCATAATGTGTTTGCATCATGATGTGGTTCCACTTGCCGTTTAGCAAAGAGTGGTACTCTTCGGTAAGACTATAATCCGCATCGAACAGTTCGAGTACTTCTTTCGCCAAGGTGTTCGCATAGTTGCGGCGCTGTCGGGCATACATTCGGTTTCTACCGAGCTCTATTTGCAGCGCTATGAAAATGTACGAAGCTTTTATAGGAAAGAAGACGAGCTGAAAGATGCTGGCTCGCTGGTCTTCTGGGCACTGGTTGTGTATTGCTTCTGCTGTCTCGACGAGCGCTTTCCAGCGGCTGATGACATGCTCAGCTTCGTTGTAGTGAAGGAGGGAGAAGGTGTCTGGTTCGATGTGCTCGTGTTTTCTCATTGATACTAGGCGGTCATATTCAAGTGATGCTGCGCCGATCACTTCACTCAAGCTAGGGCCAAAGTCTCGCTCGGCCATGGTGTTGAAGAAATGTGAGAAGTTGTCTGGTTTGATGGAGTTGATGTCCCAGGCTAGAGACATGGCGAATGTTAACGGGATCTCCACGGCCTTGATATCGCCGACATTGAAAATCCAGATTTGTTTTGCGTTGCGTCTGTGGGCTTCTTGAAGTTGATGCCACGTTTTGCCCTATCACAGTTAAAATTCAAAACGTCACATACTGCCGGAATCACTCACGAGTGAGTTGCTGTTAGTCCACTTATAGCTTCTCGGATGTCCGACATATTCAAAATGGTAGTATACCTACCAAATGTCAGTATCAACAGATGGGGGCCATGGACACAACATACACCAGCTCCACCTTTTCTCTCAGCCTCCTTCCCTTGAGGAAGACGACGGATAGTTCCGAAATTGTCGTCCGCGAATAAAAGTGTGACATCGTCGGGTACTTCGAGCCTTCCAGTATCATACTGGTCTTGCACTTCTTTGTACAGCGCGAGAAGTTCTAAACCCAAGATCAGCTGTCAAATATCCTATCTTCACACCGCTATAAAACTCACGCGTAACACCATCTTCCCTCCCATGAACATCCTTTATGATCCCTCTCTGCGTCCGAATAACATCCCTCACCACCGCCGCCGGGTCGTCTGTCACCATCTTCTTGTCATATTCACCCCTCATCCCCAATGTAACATAAGACTCACAGCCCTTCGCCCTCCTTATCCCCTCGTCAAAAAATTCCGTTATCTTCTCCTTGTTAGTAAGCCAGTTCCAGCTACCATCTGGGTTATCGGCGAACCACTCGTTAGACATGCGTTGCATAGGCTCGTGATGAGATGTCGAAATACAGATTCCGTAGTCTTCGGCAGTTTTCTGATTGTCTGGATCGTCGGTAAAGAATGAGGCGCCTGGATTAGGATATCCAGGCCACATTGCTGGCCAGAGGAAGTTGGCCTGAGAATATTATCAACATTTTATGAATTCAGGAGAATTGTGGTATGTCGATTGACACTTACTTTCAAACGCAGCAACAGCTCAAACACTTTCTTATAAAAGACAACCCCATACTTTCCAAAATTCTCCCTCACCCACCCCGTAAGAGCAGGCGCCTCATCATTGATGAAAATCCCTCTAAACCTTACACTCGGCTCGCCTTGTCTCGTAGTAACAGGCAAGGCGTAAATCTCGGGATGGAACTTAGGAACCACATCAGCCCACCAATACCACCTACCTGCAAGTCAGTCATCCGCATTCATCTCTTCAAGACGCTCATTGTTGAGAATGGAGGAGAAGAATAGGAAACGACACATACGGCGAAACACCAATCTGCTCACTCAACCCATAAACTCCAAATATCGCACCCCTCTTATCACTCCCCGCAATCGCCAGCGCTCTCTTACACCCTTCAAACGGCTCCTCAACCACAGCCGTAACATAACTCTCCCACTTCCCTCTAATTCCACTTAAATCCACTTTCCCATCGCGCTCAAGACTTTGGATCAAAGGGCTTTGAGTCACGCTGCCTACAATGATAGCTGTCTGACATTTTCCATCGAAGATTTCTGTTTTGTTTTGATCTGTCCAGATTTTGAGAGGTGATGCAGAACCTTTCGTGACGCGAGAGAAGTCTTCGGAGAGGTTGCGGGCGGCGATGTGGATCCCTGGGAAGTCGGCGTGGTGGACTATGATGGGGCTGTTGACAAGATTGAGCAGTCCATTTCCCTCTGTAAACGTAACGAATTTCTCGTCGAACATTATGAAGTTATGTTCAAATCCAGATCATTCTTCACAGACTGGAAGCTAGCCGGCTGACGATCTTAAGTCGGATTCTTCGGCTGGGAGACTGCATCCCTTTTGATCTGAAGGCCAGGGTAATTGTGTGTACTTGTTTGTCTGTTGCAAGGATACAGACGATAAATCATTGCAAGTTCGCAACCTCGCTGTTCGGGCAGAAAGCAGCGAGGTTTCTGTCAGGGGCATCCTGAATGAGGGAAACTTCCCCGCTAGACCCCTCAGCCCCAGACTTTTAGTGTAGGCCATCCCCACTATTCTCCAAGAATACATGACTCTCGAAAGTGGGATGGTTTTGGTACCTAATAATCAAGACAAAGGTTTTGTTATTACCAAACGTCCCACAGACCTTGAGTTGGTATGTTCGATTTTCTGAGCTTTTGTGTTGGCTTTTCTTGAGACTCTGTCTTGGCTGCCTGCTGTTATGCTCTGGCAGGTCCGAGCTGTCTTCAAAATTACCCCGCGTTGACTTGCTTTGCCTGAAATTTGCCTACTCCATTACATGAATACGACCTGGAAAATGCGCTCAACTTGACTTGAAGGGTTGAAGGTACAATGTTTGGCATTCATTCGATTCTTATCCTCATTTTTGCCAGTCTTTCTGTAATAGTCTAGGCTAGGTACATTCGAGATGTCGCAACGGCAGAGCAGTATGAATTCCATCTTCGGGCCTGGCTCAGATATACAATTACTATTTTCCTCTTTCTCATGGGTATACAGCTGCTAGGCGACAGGATTAAGTCGAATGGCAATCTTGGATGGTCGCAGAGAAATGCTTGAACATGTTCTTTACTCACTCGATCGACAGCGACCAATATTAAGCGAATCCAAGTAAACATGCTTCTCCTTCTCTAAGTCTTACAATACAGTAGAGAAGGAATTAAAGTAGACGCCTATTGCAATAAATTGACGTCCATGTTTCTTCCGATAATCATTTCAAGAGAGATGACTCGCATCGCTAGACCGTAGAGGATAAATGTATAAACTCGCCCGACTTGATTGCGAGCAACGCGGCATCAACGAATGAATCACACTTAGCAAAAGTCTTGACTCACTCAAAGACAGTAACTGGCAAAGTAATTTCATATCCAAAAGTCTCAATAAGAGCTTATATGACGAAAAACAGGCATCCGCCCATTGGTGTAGCGGTCAGCACGTCACACTTTGATGCCCGTCCACCAAGTCTTCTGAAGTCGCCAGTTCGAATCTGGCAGGGGCGTCTGTAAGAAAAATCCTTTTTGGCGTCATATATGTAGTTTGGCTTTTATAGAATTATTCTGAACCCTTAACAGTGTTGAAAATTTCAGGTAGACAAGGACATATCTTCTTTCCGTGATCGGGTTTTGGGAAGCTAGGTGCTCAAATGTCGCTGCAGGGCTTACCCAGCCACATTTCGCTTCAGTGTCACGGTCAACAATCTACGCAACTGGGGCCGGAAGAACAGGTACTTTTGAAGTATTCATGGATGTATCAAGCCGCGCGGGAGTACTTCTCAGAATCGCGAGGCATCATTTGGGATTTTGGCGACCGAGGTCAGAAGAGTGCTAGAGACTTCGAAATCCATTTCACGTTGCCTTGAGGATGTTGGCCATTGTTACTAGTCGTCGAGACATCTGAAAGATGGGCATTCCAATCCAGTAAATGTGTTAAATCGCGAGGCAGGCGACGTGTATTTTTCACAACTTCGGAGGAAGAATATCTGCACCTTCAATCGCAGACACCGTTCATTCCTTCCCTCCTTCTGTACCTGGTAGGAGTATTGCCACGGCCGATCAGTCTCACTCTCACTTCGTATTGCTGTCTCTCTCTGGAGAACGAGAAATTAAAGCTATTATAAGGCACTTAAATTGATGGGCGGTCAGGCGCAATGGGATGTTCAGGTAAGAATAACTCGAGGTCAAGTTGATACTGAAGTCCTGAGATCGTCTGTGGCTAAACAATGAGATCGCAGACCAAATTCTCATTCCAAGCTCCCCATTAGATGGGTAGCAACTTCCTCGATGGTCAACCTCCTCCGAAACTGGTTCCATGGCTGTGTCATTTAACACACATTCAGATACTTGAAGGCAGTGACATTGTCAACTTGATCGAGAAGCCGGTCACCAGATCAAACATACGGACTCCGATCAACCAGACTGTATCTCACGGATTTCTCGCTTGGCTCCAAGGACTTGAATACCTGAGGAGATCATTTACCTTACATACCGGCTGCCTTCTCTTTCAACCTCCTCAGCGTGGTCTCCATTCACCTTCCATCTGCTTGGCACCTGTATCTCACGCGAGCCTGACCATTCCAAGCATCAATATTTGACGTTAATCTCCGCCTCCTCCTTTCAACACCAATCTTCAGCCAACATCAATTTCAATCGCAACATACGATCCCCAGTCACTTCAAGTAAGTTACTGCTGCTGCTCAGCGGCTGTCCTTCATGGTTCACGCACCTAATTCAGTGCAGCCATTGGTCACAATGGCCGAACAACAGTCCGATGGTATTCCTGCACAGATTGGGATTGGCATTATGGACTTTACCTATCTATTAAGTGAGAGAATGGCTGAAAGCAGGAGACTGAGGGTGTTATCGGCAGCGGCGTCTCCACCAACGCCAGGAGGTCTTGTTCGACTATTCAGCTTCGCAGGCACAAACAACGAGCTTACATCTCTGAAGAACGAGGTCCGGATGATGGCAAAGAAGGTAGAGGAAAATTCGGAGGCCATCAAGAACATGTAAGAAAAACGTCAAGAGGACTCGGAGATCATCAAGAACTTACTGCAAGTGGTTGCAAACAGGCTCAGTGACGAGGGAAATCGATCAAACAACGAAGTCAAAAGTCCACCACATCGATACAAGTCACACTCGGAGGAAGGTGTAGCTGGAATCCTCATAACAGAGCTAGGAAAATTCTCCAACACCGAGGTCGAAGGTTCACAACACGGCCATGACCAGGAGCCAGAAGAAGCAGCAACAGAGTTCGCGGCTACCATGCGGGGAGCAACGCTTCTCAACTATCAAGTCGAGGCTTTCTCGTCTATTGCCAATCGTCATGACAAAGGATCAGAGAATACGATACCTGAGATCCGAGGCCATGGAGAGATTCCCCGTAACCAGGCCGAAGGCTTAGCATGTAACCAGCAGCGGTACCCCACGCCAACAAGAAAAGAATGCTCCGCAAGCTCGGCTTCAGCACTGAAGCCGAATGCTCCGTTGGAGAGTCCCCAGATGGAGTTGTGCCGGAAGCGAGCAACAATAGAATCGCCTGCGAGTTCAGACATGAGAAAGCGCCGAGGCACCGCAGTCGATATAGAGTCCATCCGTGAGCGATATATAAAGAAGCTCAGATTTGAATCATCTGCTGGTACACAAGCCAGCGATGATACAATTGTTGTTAAAAGCCCACAAGATATCACAATTTCACTGCCAACTTCGCTGCCACAGCAACCTCGCGAATCCACTCCAGCCCAGTCACAAAATACCGCTCGTCGATTTACTCGACGAACGACAGCAATTCTAGCAGGTGAGAGTGCAAGACCAACATATAAGCCAAGACAAGCCGCGGAGAAGGAGGCAGAGACTCCAGCAAAGCCCGCGTGGGGTTATGTCACTTGGAAGAAACCGAACCAAGAGCGATGGCTGGTATCAGAGCAGAGACTTGTCATCAGACTGATAGACAAGGAGAAAAGACGCTCTAAAGGACGGGTTCTATCTGGCGCGAAGATTGCTAGGGCTTTCAACAAGAAGTTGGAAGGTGTTGTTCAACATCGTGGAGAGAAGACCATTGTTGGAACGGTTCTCGAACACCAGAGAGTTGCCCCAGTTCGGACGATAGCTAGCATCAATGGCATGATCTCCCGCTGTCGGAACATTGTGATGAAGGAGGGAGACTCTGCTGAGCTTTCAATAGAGCTTGAAGATGACGATGAAAATGAGGATGAGGATGGGTATGAAAATTACGATTACGAAGAGAATGAGGATGATGATGACGAAGACGATGTGAAGGATGAAGAAGAATGATGCGCAGAGAAGCAGCGGAACACGAAGAAAAAAAAAAAAAAATGAAACCATGAATCCTCTCAACAAAATGAAATCAACGGATGGGAAATAAGGCTTCATATTTACACACATATCGGCGTTTTTGTGTGATTCTAAAGGATTTAGATTCGCAACCTTTGCAAAAGAGCTCATTACCTAGGAGATAGAAGTTTATTGAAGTGAAGGATTTCTTTTCCCAGTAGATGATTACCTCACAAATGCATTGAGCGACCCAATGCCGGAGCAAGGTGAAATCTCCCAGTCTCGTCATGATGCTTAGTACCGCAGGTGAAAGTAGCTCTGAGGGCGCCGTCTCGAGGGTGGTGTAGTAGCGATCCGACCAGCACCAGCAGGACAGCTTAAAAACATGTGGGGAGTAACCTCGGTTAGGGCATAAGTTGCTGGGCATCCACACCAGCTGGAATTTGTAAAAAAGAAGAGGTACTCCAGTCGCCCCAGCAGGACACAGCTAGGCAGCGCAAAAAAAATCCAAAAAATAAATTAGGAACGATGCATTTAGGTCGTACCCGGGCTCGAACCGGGGATTCGGGAAAGTTCTTTATAGAACATGATTCTGATATGTAGTCAAAATCCCACGTGCTAACCGCTACACTATACAACCTGAACAGTTGCTAGAAACAACTGTAATTGTTCTTGAATGATGCCGCAGAAGTGCTTATTTAACTAACTATGTGCTCAAAAAATTCGCCACGCAAAGTTCCGATGTTTCACTAAAACTCTTACTTACTACCGAGCGGCGATGCCACTTCCCGTGCTTCCTACAATCAAGCACTCCATTTGCAATGTGCAAGAATCAGAGTACCATGGATTACTAGTTTTTATGTAATTAGTTTATGTTTATGGAGTTTTCACTGGGAGGAAATCGAGCGGTCATTGATTATTGAGGAGCAAAATCAATAGAGACAGGCTCTCGCTTACTAAATGAACAAACAACGACCTTAGCCGAACTCAGCTTACTCCGCGCAAACCGTCCTAAAACCGTTCTCCAACGCCCATCAACTCCAAACTTGAACCATGGTAACATCAAATATTCCATTTGACTGTCATAATACCGCATTCTATTTTCCCATCTTGAGATATGCAACAAGACGATTTGCGGAGGTTCCGATCTGAGTTAAGGCTTCAGGGCTTAGTTGATGGGGAGAATGATGATGATTGGCCAAGCAAGATCTGGCTTTGAGAACCGAAAGTTGTAGACCGAACATCCTTTCCATCTGTTGCCTCCGTGGACTTCTTGGGTAATATAATATTCTATCGTATACACATGCATCGCTTGGTCCTTAATATGTTGACGCGTTCTTTGTCTGGAGCTCCTTTATCCCTCGAATCCTTATGCACAGCATTCCTGTCTTTGTCTTTGAATCCAAAAGAAAGTTGAACAAGAACTACTGCTTTCATCATCTTAGAACAACCTGATCAGAAGCATTTTCAATCTTCAAAATATTGCTTCAAGCATTTCTAGATTCTTACAACAATCTAGGCTACTCAAATAAGATCATTGCCATTGCACCTATCTGTACACCCCCGTTTACCTCATCAACCTCAATATCCTTCGAAAACTCGCCTACCCAACCGCTTCGTTTATCCTGAAGACGGAATGTATGCTGTGGAGCCATTGAAGGAAAGGACGGACTCATCAAGTCTACGGAAAGTAGCAAGAGGATGGATAGAACCTTTATCAGAAGTGTGGGGAAGCGGAGGGGATGGGACGGTAAGAAAGTGCCGAGTCTCAGGGCCGGTATGCTGGTGTTGATCCTCTTTGTCATTGACTGAACTCCTTCGGGGCGACAATAGAGATCATATGGCGTGTGTACATAGCACCGTTCAATTCCAGGCTTCTCGCGCTGCGTGTCCGATCCAGCAATACGTCGCCTGCCCTGCTGGGAAGGATATCTGGCTTTCGTCCTTGTGACTGCACTGTGATCGGAACCAGGAATCTGAAGGCTGGATTAAGGGGGCAAGGCATTGCACATATTTCAAGGCCAGAGACAGCTTCACAGGTCAGCATAATAAAGGCAGAATTCCGACCGAATACCTAGGTTGACCTAATACATTTTCCATATACATCACCATTGCCCACTTCCTTCAGAACCCCCAGAGCTCGTAGCAACTGCCAAGTCAGACTAAATCAACACCGATACAGTAACGCATGTTGCACAGAAGCTGGAAGC